GAAAGAGTCAGCACCAAAATATCTCAGAAAGGATTTTTTAGGGAAGAGAATCTACAGCCATTTTGGTCAACAGAGATGCTTTCTGGTAAGTATATTAGGTAAGGAATGCTTCATTAAGGTCTTCATTTTAAGTTTAGAAGAAAACAGTAATTCATTAAATCAATGAGAAACACCTTGTAATGTGGTTTATTTTTAAAGGGCCTACTAAAAATGTCACCAGTGTTGTAATTTTCTCTAAGGATTCATATCTGACAACTGATCTTTCTTCCACTTCAACTAGGATTCCCAGCGATCCATTTGCTATTTTTCCATGGAAATACTAATAAAGCCAATTGAACATTTTACTCTGAGCATAATTGTAGAATCCATTTAAATTTGGTCTTTAAAAATGCTTAAATTATCCTAAGGAGCTGTGCTGTCCTGGAGCTCAAGCCAAATCACTGACATGTCTTGAGAAAACATCATTCAATACATAAATACATGCTATGAATTTTATTTAAATGGCCTATTGGGCATATATGTATGCATTCATATTAAAAAACTAATTATTCAATTTTTTATGGATCCTTAATGGTTTTTTCCTTCTACAAACTTGGCAATGAGACCAAAGAAAAGGCCCAGCCAGTCTCATCAATCTGATGTCCCTCTGCAAAGTGGCACTGAAATCAAGGGAATTGAGCGGGGTGTGGGGAGAGGTAGGTACAGTGCAGGGAGGAGGGGGTGAGGACTTCATCGACGCCTCCAGGAGAGCTCACCTTTCTGAGAGAGTAGATCTCACACTACCCGTTCTCATGAGCAGGCTCTGCACCTCGTGAGTGCCTGTGGTCAGTCCAGACAGGGAGCCGTGGTGACTGAGGGGGAGGTCAATGGACTCAGAGCTCGTATGGAGGCTAGTCATGGACTGGTAACTTGGAGTGTCCTTGCTGCCAGCAGAGGAACTGCTGAGATTGGCAGCCCACACGAGACCACCTGATGTGAAAGAGTGAACCGATGCTGGGCTGGAAGCCAACGAGTGACTTAAGCTTATAACATCTGTAGTTAAGTCTGAGGGTTTATTGAAGAGAGGGCTGCTGCTGCCACTTAGCCCACCAGCACTGCCCATGCTGCCCGTACCAGACGACGGTGATTCCAGACTGCCTTGCCGCGCTAATGTGGTACTAGGACTGGGCATTACAGAGGAGGATTTCACACCCTCAGTATTAGGTGCAGAGGCAGATTTGCCACCTGCCTTGGCACCAAACAACCTAAAAGAAAAACAAATAACAACTTCAGTTGTTCCGAGAAACTAATATCCACATTTAATATTTAGGGTTACAGTACATAGAGCCAAGTGTGCTTTGGTGGACCGAGCTACCGAGCACTTCCTGTCTCTATGTTAATGAACTTGATAAGCTTGAACTTCTAGTGCCAAAAATCTCTCATATCACCAAAAGGGTAAGTTGGTCCTGGGCTGCCACCCCAGTGGCGGGGGGACATGGGCCAAACAAAAGGAACTGTAAATCAAACATGAAAGTCCCTGGTTTTCACAATTAAGCGATCATGAGAATCTTTTGCAAAAATTAAGTAGTTTGCACGTACTTGCTGCTACCTATTTACTGAACCATTATAATGAAACAACTTCTGCGCATTCGGTATATAACATGGAAATTATTTTTCTTTTCTTTTTTTCTTTTCATTTTAAAGTTTATTCAAAATCTAAAAGGAATGCTTAAGGCAAGGTTTAGGGGTTAGGTTGTATACCTGGTGGCCTGATTGACTTTCAGAGAACATTTGGTTAGAAACAATATTGGACACTGACAGCAACATGTTGGTTTGTCTGTATTTTCCCCAAGAAAGACCAAAGGGTTTTATGTCAGTTGCCAGTGCTATTCAAATACATATCTGTAATAGTGATTTGAAACACAGTTGGTGTTAAGTTAGATGCTGGAGTTTAGTTCAGAAAACATTTTAGTTTTGTAAATGAAGCAGATGATATAATCGAATTTATGTAAATATGGAAATAAAGTGACATGAAATAATGGCATAACGATGACTAATTAAGTTGCAGTGGAATCCATATTTCCTATAGTGAAACATTTTGTGACGAATATGAGAAATTGTTTCATAGGTAAAGGCCACTGGAGGGCACCACTGGCTTCTACTTAAGCAACAGAGATATTTACTCCCACTACTAGCGACTGTTCTTTGCAACGCGAGGCAACATTTCAAAAAACCAGCTCTTCAGGACTAATATTGCTACTGAGAGATATAAAACCTCTAGGTTTTGCAAACAGCCATGTATCTGAGACTGCCTGAAATATAAAAGTAAATGGTTCAAGACCCTTGATATCTCCCAGATATCAAGGTTCTTGGGTTAGTCAGTATAATAAAAACATTAAAAATACTTAACATGTCATGAAAGACAAATCATACTCTATCATTTCATAGATGAGGAAACAGACCCAGAGAGGTATGACTCTTTGTCCCAAGTCTTTCACTGTATGTATTTTCCTGCCACTTAAAACACATCAGTATTTAAAACAGTGATATCTCGAAGGAGAACTCTGCATATTCAATACCAAAGACAGTCCCGGTGCAGAAACCAAGTCCTGCTGCTTACCAGAGTCATATCAAAGAAAGCTGATGAAGAGTTAGAAAACCTAGCCCATTTCTTAGTTATAATCCTGTATCAAACATCCAAAGTTTTACAAATTCTGTCAATCATATCATACCTTGATTTTCATTCATATGTCAAGATATGGTACTATATACATCTGTCCATTGTGATCCAGTACTGTACAAGGAACACAGCTTCATCCACACTCATGATCACCAGCTCATTAAGAGCCAGCAAGATAATACAGACACTAGAAATGAATACCAATAGTCATAAAGACCTATTAACGTTCTATTTTATTTTTAACGGTGGAAAGATGAAAATCTATGGAAATTTTGCAAGCTACTGTTTTATCACTCCCCCTAGGTATTGCCATCTGCTTTGAAGTCTCTCATAAATTGCTAATTGTGTTGCTAATATGACAATGATAGTGAAACTACAAAGTTGAAGCATTTCTCAAAATGAGCGATATTTCTTTCACTAGCTATTTATATCATCAGCTTCATAAAACGCATTTTACTCAGAAACTGAATAAAACATTCTAAGATATATGTGTCATAGAATATATATACTTAGGACATATATGTTTAGGATATACCTCTTTTATACGATAGGATATAGGACACACATATATCCTAAGATATAGCATTTTATATTTTCTCAGCATCATTTTATGCTTTCTTACCTTCGAAATGTAGGTGAGGCAATATCAGGATACTTGGACCCTGGCTGCCTGAGCCCTTGTGTCCCACAGGCACTAGCAGATGTGGGGCTGGATTTGGGGGAACCAGACAAAGAAACACTCTCTGAATCTGAGACTGCTACTTTTTCCTTTTCTTTGTCTGTCTGGTTGACAGTGACAGGACTCGAGCGCCCTGAGGCGATCTTCGTGGGTTCTCTCAGTTTCGAGGTAGTGGCACCAGCTGACTTACTGCTGACATTGGAATCTATACTGCTGGTGCTGGATCTGTGGCCACCTCGGCCGGGAATGCCACTGGTGCTGGATTTGGATGGGCGGGGTAAACTGCGGTATTGCAGGGAGGTCTTTGAGCTGACATGCAGCACAACATCATCCTGATTCTGTGAACCGTCCAAACTGGTTTTTCTCCCGGCATTTGACTTCCCACCAATGGCAGCAGATTTGGGGATTTTACCCAGTGTTGCTGAGCCACTTGTTATGGTGGCTCCACTGCTTGTGATCATGGCAGATGACCCTACTCCACTTGGCTTCTTAAATCCAAAAGAGCCAGTGGCCGTTGATCTTCCAATGCCCGAGGGCGGCTTTTTCCCCTCATCTCCACTGCTTTTTCCTGCATCTGAAGGAGACCTCTGTAGAGTCGATCCTTTCAGGGGAGTTTTCCCTTTCTCAGAAGCTTTGGCATCATCAGTTTTCCCTAATGAGTGAAAAATACACAAATTTATGTGCCTGCACATTTTGATTTCACAATATTTCTTTAAACAAAGTGTAAAATGTGAATACATCTTTATATTACCTCAATTCCTAAATATTCACTGTTTTAGATTTAAATAGGCATGTCCTCTTAATACATTCAGAGGATTAACTACAAAGCTATAAAAATATGGCTGTTAGAGGAAAGTGACGAGAGATCAAGGAGATAAAATGAAAACACCTATTTTTGCTATTTATTATTGCCTTATATCTTGCAACTCCCTTCCTTTATAAAGATAGCACTTAATCTCGTCAAACTAAGTGCTCAAAAAGGAATTCATTTGAATATCTCTGAGATGATTGTATTTGGAGAACCCTGTTCCATCAGTACTTCAGGTGGCACTATTTAAAATGAGGAACCATTTTTAAAATAGGGAGAGAGTCTTTTTTTAAAAAAAGGATAGTACAATTTGCAAAATTCTTTCACTCCCTTTTTGCATCAAGTCTAATTCAGAAATGATGTTTCAAATCTCCAGCCTTCCAAGTAGATTAGTGTGACTGCTCCTTCTCTTAGAGTTGGAAGTGAAACGTAGGGGCAGAGTTAACATAAATATCCCAAACTTTCATAAGAAAGTCAGAATGAAGGCAATCTTATGTTTATTAATAAGTAGGCTTATTTTATTTCCACATGATCAGAAATGACTGTGGCAAAATAGACACTCACCAAATTAAGAGGATGCCCTCTAGAGGATGCCTGGAATGTTACAGTCATGTGGATGCATATGACAAAGCATGTGAAATTTAGAAATTTAGCATGAAGAAAAATCTGATTTAATTAAGAAAAGCTACTATGAAAGACAAAAAGATCGAATGGAAACAATAAAACAATTTGGCATAACAGCTGCCAGATGACAAGCCTACCAGGGGTCTTGAGCGCACTGGTTCCAGCTTTTTGCTTAGGTGGTGCTCCTCCCTGGGCTGACATGCCTCTTCTCCAGGAGCCTGTCTGTGAAACAGACAGGGAGGCTTTCTGCCCTGCCTTCTCAGGGTCTTCAGGAAGTCCGGAGGAAACGCCCTTCCACTTGCCACCTCCATCCCCATGGCTATCAAAGTCCTCCTCTGTTTTTTTCACCTCCTCGGTACTATCCCAGGGCTCATCTGTTGCAGATCGTTTCTCTGAATCTGTCTTCAGCTATGAAGAAAATAGGACAGAAAAACTTTGTGCAGAAAAGTTTATCAAGTGTGAATTGGGCCCTGGAATGTCCTTTCAGATAACTGGTTAAAAAAAAAATAAAAAAGAAGCAGTGATTTGTATTTCAGAAGAGTTCTGAAGATTCCTCTATTTCTTTTTATCTCTGTCTTCATTTAAGTTTCCTTAATTTTAGCCCTATAATTCTCAATTGCACCTATTAGAGAATGTCAGAAGAAATGTGTGCAGAAAACCCCAACTGAACACTCCAGAGAGGAAGGCACTTTCTATGCCAAAGCTAACAAGGAAAAGTAAGACAAAATAAAACTTAATTACCTAATATTCATTCTCGATTCACCATTCACAAGAGATCCAGCAATGTGTCTCAGAGATCAGTATAAAATTAATCAGGAACTATCCAAAATTAGACTATTAAAATCATTTTTGGAGCTCTAAACACACATATTATTATAAAGACAGATATGGCAACATAAGGCTTTCTGGGTTAGACTGTAATCAACTGAAAAAATATATATACATAAGCTGCTTCCGTTTATGCAATTCCTTCAGATAAAGAGGTTGTGCTATGTTTTAATGCAATGCAACATAATTTGGGGGGAAATGTGGCAGAAGCCCTGGGGAAACAGAGAGGGCAATTCTCACCTGCATGTTCTTTCGGGACGGGGCAGTGGCGTTGGAGTAAGAGCTGACGGAAGATGTGGTGTTCAAGTCATCAGTGCTGATGTTATCCAGAGTGTCACTGAGGCCGCTGCTCACCGAGCTGCTGTCATCCCAGCTAAAGGCAAAACAGGCAGCAGTAATGAGCTAAGCACATGAGGCACGATGCAAAAGTCACCCACACTCTCATTTAACGTGTGTCACGCGTTGGGAAGAGAATTCTTAGTTTTTTAATCTTATGATGAAAAGTGTGCACTTTCCATTTTTGGAAAATCATACTGCTAAGAACTGAGCGCAAACCTGAGAGTAATCTTATCGGAGGTTTGCTAAGAATCAGTGTCTAGAGCAGATCCAGGGGAATGTTTATAGAATGAATGAAAACACTGCTACAAATACTGCATGGCATCAGCAAAGAAGAACATTATCCATAACCTTTTTTTTTCCCCTGAGAAGGCAATCAGGATTCACACAGCATGTAAGAATTCACCTGTTGTGTTAAAAATTAAAAACAAAACAAAACAACTGTGCTTTGGTCAGGAACCAGAAAATCATTCCTCATTCTTTCTCCTACCAATAACTACTCCCAATCATTTACCAAATCTTGAAGATTGAGACTTATTCTATCATATCATCCCTCCGGCCATTTCTGGCCGGGGCAACACACAATATTCTTTTATCTGGGCTTCCTGCCTTCAGTCTTTCTCAATAAACTTCATCTGCTAAATTTGGGTCAGTGCTCAAATGTTCACATCTGGCCATGTCATTTCCTTATATACCACTCTTCAAAGACTTCTCTTTACCAAGGTAGTAGATTCCAAAATGTAATGCACCTGCCCTGCGAGGCGCACAAAGTAATCCCTCGGGACATAAGAAAAGTATCTGAAATTCTGAATATATCTGTTCTTAATCCAAAGAACAAGAAGTAAAATAGGCTATATTAATATTCATGTGCAGGCTAACACAGGCACCCTCACTTAGTCAGTGTGTCAGAAGATGCAGAAGTAATGTAGGGTGAGCAGGGTCACCTGAATGAGAATGGGAGCTCCACAGGGTGAAGGGTTGAACCATGGTTCTCTCACTTACTGGCTGGTTCTCAGTCTCCTATGATACACTGCTGCTCACCTGAACTCTATTAACTGAATTCATGTAAACTGGATACACATATTAGATACAGACAAAAGTTAAGTATCATAAAATAGACAAGTGGCTTTAAAAAAACCGCCTGCAAATAATCCACACATTGAAGAGAATATTTGTAACGAAAGCACAAGCTAACCATAAAGGAATGGTAAACTGGTAACTTTTCCTACTCTGCTATGTGTACTTTATGAGTCTCACCATATATTCCAAATAAAAGTGACGTATTGAGATCATATAGCAAACCAACTAGAAAAGTAATTATCAAGAAGAAAATTTGAAATTTGAACTTAGAGAAAATATCATTAATGATGATCTCCCCCCAGTTTAGTATTTTGCTTGAGATATTAGCTACTGACAGCTTAAAACATGATGACCAAACACATTTATAAATCATATTATTACCAATAATAATTTATTTTAAATGACAGCAAAAGAGTATTTTGTACCACTGTAGCAAATACCTGCCATTTGCGGCTGCTCAAATCTTTTGAATATCTTCCCTACGTCTTTTTGATAATTTCCCACATTATGATTCTTACCTTCCGAAGGTAGACTGCAAAAAACTCACATTTCCAGACTCCCTTATAGACAGATATGACATATAACAAAGGGCCTAAAGAGTCACAAATGAGAAAATCTTCTGGCAAACACAGCAGCAGTCATTCAATTTTTCTCTTGTAAACACTGGCAGATATCTGGCCTCTAATTCCAAGGGTCAGAGGTGCCAAGCAGAGGAAGCAGTGATGCCCTGGAGCTATGGTTGGCTAAGCACCTACAAAGAGCCTGGTTCTCCAATCACCCCAATTATTCAGAAAGCCTTCTTATATCACTTCATTCCTTAAATTAGATAGTAGATTCTGTAGTTTGCAACCAAGAACCTCTATCAACACATTCATAATTTTCAAAATATTATTTCTTCTTTAACCTATCTTTAAATTTTTCATGTTTATATATGCAGTGCAATACATATATTATCTTCTCATAGGAATGCATGCATATAATCATAAAATTATAAATATACACACTTAGGCAATCACTAGTCTAAAGCAAAGTTCAGGCTCCTTTAAAAGACATATGAGGCTTTCCATTATGTGGCCCCAGCTTACCTCTTGAGCTTAAACTCTTTATATCCCCTGCCTCACTTTGTGCACTCTGACTTAGAGCTGCATTCAATTTCCATCACCATCACATTATTTCCAACCTCTGTCTTCAATCAAGGCACCCCTGTGCATACCTGACTAACCCATACTTATCTTATAATGCAGTTCTAGCATCCATCTTCTGGGAAGCCCCTTTTACTTGCCACTGTCGAGATGAATTAGGTAGCTTCCCCTCTGCACTGCCATAATACTATGCAGACTTATAGGACTGGATTTAGCACATTGTTTTATAAATCTATAAATATGTGTCAAAATGGACCATTAACCTGTGAGTTTTCTAAGCACAGAACTGTGGAGTATTTTTCTTTTAATTTCTACTATTTATGGCAATGACTGACATAAATGTTGAATAAATTCTCATGTTTTATTGAGATTAAAAGAAAGGCAGTTACAGAGGTAATCTTTCATAGTCACATGAAATGAATTTTTAAGAAATACTTACCACAATCTATTCAGTACTCAAAGAGCAAAAGTAACAAAGAGTAAATTTTACCGTTTTTTAAAAATGAGCATTTTTAAAGTAACTATTTCTCTGGCAAGGAAGATAGAATCAATATTTCTAATAATAGTGTTTACCAATGTAACTCCTAGCATTAGCGACTAAAAGTAAATGCATCAACGCTTACTAGAATTTTAAAAAATCAGTTGTTTTAAAACCATTTAAAGACTCAAATGAACACAATGACTTCGTAGTTAAAATGATATAAGTGAAAGAATCCAAAATAAGATATAAAGTTTCAATCTCTTGATAGAAAAATAAAAATATATCAAACTAACAAACATCATAGACATGAAGAACAAATTTCCAAATTTATCCTGGCGTAATGTAAAGCACAATGGATTCCTAAAATTAAAGTCTTTCACTTGAGCCTCTTTTAGAGGGGCATAGCTAGTATGTTCACTTAAACTTGCTATTGTGATCTCCCTATCTCACAGAGTAGTGTGGGAAGCAAATGAATCATTTATATGAACCATTTGATAATACTTTACATTTTTCCATCTCCTCAAACTGCTTTACCTCTAAGATCTCAAATTCTGCAATCTCAGTTTTTGATCACAGTCTTCTACACTTCCAGTGCTCTAAAATCTACTGATTTCCTAATTTTTATGTCTAGTTTATAGCTACTTCCTATTATCTATTTTTAATAGGCCTTCTTGTGTTTTTTACTCCACTGAGCTCTTTACCAAATGATGCAGGATCCAAAGATGCTGGAACAAAAGGATCGCTGAAGTCATAATCGAACCAGTACTCTGTTCTAGTTCTTGCCACCATGATGGTCTTCCATACCGGTCCTGTCTCTATGTTAATTAAACATGTTTTCTCCATTATTATTTTGGAAAATGACAGCAAATTCAACTAATCAGAATGACTAATATAACAATATTATTGTATATTTCATAATACATAATAATTATAATGACTGAATGCATATAGATTCAAGCTATCTAACCTCAGGTGATTTCTCAGTGCTATTAAGAAATTCTGCCTACTCCAAAAGTGGTTTTCTTCAAATTCCAAAGATATAGCTTTGTTTCTCTCTTCTTCCTCTGGATTCCAAGATCTTCCTCCTAATACTTTAGTGAAACTGCTTTCATTGAGGTCAATAAACCCATGGACTGAGTGCTTACTATGTGTCCTACTCTTTTAAATATTTTATATAATCTAATCCCAAACGAAACCATGAGACAGGCATTGTAAAGATAAAGGGGTTCAGGTAGTTTGAATGATGTGCCCAAGGCCCATGATGGAGCTGGGATTTGAACCCAGGAATTATGTCCCAGAGCTTGGTCAGTATTCCACTCCCTTGACTCCCATCTTCTCACACCTTTTACCTTGAAATACACCAATGATGTGCCTTTACAGGCTCTCTGCAAACTTCACCAGTCCACAGAACCCTTTACTTTTCTCCTCTTCTTTGGGATTCCTTTGAATTCCTCAAAATTCAGTACTTAATCTTAACTCACCTTAGACATTCTTTCTTGGAAATTTCTTAGTCTTTCACAACTTCAGTATCACCTCCATGATTATGACACTCAAATTCACATCTCTAATCCAGACTTCTTTCCTGATTAATTGATCAGCATTTCCAGCCTTCTACTGAACACTTTCTCAAGGATGTCCTGTCAACATCTCAAATTCACTCTACCTAGATTCCATCATTTCTCGTTAACAATTCTTCTCCCTTTCAGTTACTGACTACCTGTTTATCCTTCTGCCATAAAATATTAGTGTTATTACCTCTCTTCTCTCACCTGGATCCACTGTTAATCAAGTTGTCTCTAATCCTTGAAAATCCATCTCAGCTATAGGTGACATGGCCCTCCTTGTGTTCCACATCGCCACTGTGCATGCCTGTCCCTCCTTCCATAAAAGCTATTAGTAAGAATCTGCTTTTATTCATTAAGTGATGAATAAATTATAGCTCCTCTCCTTTGAAGAATTCACTGCTTATTGTGGAGGTCAGAAGTTTAAACAAATTGTTATAATACAAAATGGCAAGTGTTGTAATAGAGATGAATGTTAAGTGCGTGGCAGGACAGAGTCACTACCACTCACTTGAAGAATTCAAGCATTTCTTCATGACAGAGATACTGCAGAGTGATCAGAGGAAATAAATGTTAACCACTGTATTACAGCATATATGACTTGTTACAATATAACCACTATTTTGGTGTTTTTCTATCTTCTTAGCCATAATCTGAATTACCTGAAGCCACAGACTGTGTGACACTTATCTTTATAATTCTAGCATGTAACATGGTGTCAACTATTGAATAGATGACTAGTAGATGTTTGTTAAATAAATGAAGCATTTTT